TGCAGTAGGTGCTCAGTCAACATTGACTGAATGAAGAAAACCAGCGAACCAGTGAGCTCTGGGACTGTCGTCACCCAGTGGTCACCTAGGTGGCAGGTGCGTCCAAATGCGATTGGTTCCTCTTCCTCCTGGCTTTTTCTTTTCTTTCTTTTTTTCCTTTCCTTTCTCTCACTCTGCCCTCCCTCTATCCAACTGCTCCCTCTTTTTCCTCTCTCTGCTTTTTCTTTTTCCTCAGTGAAGAGAGTCGTGATTCATGTCTGGGCTCTGGAGCCAAGTGACTTGTTTTCATCCCTCCTCTGCCTCTAACCAGCTATGCTTCTTCTGAATTAAGCCATTCAGCTTCCACGAAAAACATCTCCTGCATTGCCCCGGGGGGTAATAATAATTCTTCCTGCGCTGGGGTGTGGCAGATAGCATGTGGTGGCCTGAATGAGTGATGATTGCAATGAACAATGGCACCTTGCTAAATGTATAACCTGAATTAACTCATTTAATCCCGTGAGTGCCCCAGGGGTGGGCACTACTGAGATTATCTGGACTGCATAGATGAGGAAGTAGCCAGGGCACAGAGAGAGTAAGCAACTTGCCCAAGGCCACCCAGCTATGCAGTGGCAGATTCTTAAACACTGGGCTCTCCAATGCCTGTTGATTAAGGACCTACCATGTGCCCAGCATTGTTCTCAGAGCTGAGAATACAGCAATGGACAAAATAGGTGGATTCCTGCCCTCGTGGGAACTTTGTTATTCTAGAGGGGGAGTGAGAACCAGTGAAACGAGGAAATACAGGTATAACGGATTTGCCATTCTAGGGCAGGGGGACCGGGGTAGTGTGAGTGTGGATTGATAGGAAGGAAGTCCGCGCTGAGAAGATGACATCTGAGCAAGGACTTGAAGGAAGGCCACAGGGAGGTTTGAGAGAAGAGCGGTCCAGTAGGGGGAGCAGTAAGTGCAAAGGCCCTGAGGCAGGGGCAAGGTAGCAGTTTCCTTGAACAGCCAGGAGGTGGAGCAGAGGGGGCTGGAGGAGAGGGGAAGACGAGGTCAGGGGCATGAGGGTGACCCTGCGGGCTGTGATGAAGACTTCGGCTTTTACTCTGAGTGAGGTGGGAGCCACAGGAAAGTTTTGTTGCTTTCTTTTAGTAACAGCTTTATTGACACATAATTCATATAGTATATAATTCACTCATTTAAAGTGTACAATTCAGGGGGGAGGGTATAGCTCAGTAGCAGAGTGCCTGCTTAGCATGCATGAGCCCCTGGGTTCAATCCCCAGCACCTCCATTAAAAGAACTAAATAAACCTAATTACCTCCCCCCCCAAAATAACTAAAAAATTTTAAAAGGAGTGTACAGTTCGATGGGTTTTAGCATATTCACAGAGCTGTAAATCGTCAAAAGCCGTTTTAGAGCCTTCCATCACCCCCAAAAGAACCCTGAGAGGTCACTCCTGATCCCCACCGACCAGCCCAGGCCAACGCTAGTCTGTTTTCTGTCTCTGTGGGTTTGCCTGTTCTGGACACTTCACATCAGTAGAATCAGACCACACGTGGTCTTTTGTGACCGCTTCTTTCACTCAGGGTAACGTTTTTAAAGTTCATCCACGTTGCAGCCTGTATCAGTGCCTTTTTTAAAAAAAAAATGCAGAGTAATATTCCACTGTGTGATATTGCAAATTTTATTTATCTGTTTATCAGCTGGAGGATATTTGGGTTGTTTCCACCTTTTTGGCGACTGTGAAATTTTCGTGTGGACACAGTTTTCATTTCTCTTGTCTATATCTAGGAGGGGAACTGCAGGGACTTCCTTTAATTCTGTATGTAGCCTTTTGAGGAGCCGTTTCCAGAATATTTTCCACAGAGGCCGTTTTACATTCCCACCAGCAGTGTATGAGGGTTCCAATTTCTCCGCATCTTTGCCAACACTCCCCTAATTGTCTCTTGTTTGTTCTTTGGGAGGAAGTAATTAGATTTATTTACCTGTTTCTTTATTTTTAATGGAGGTACTGGGGACTGAACCTAGGACCTCCTGCCAGCTGGGCATGCGCTCTACCACTGAGCTACACCCTCCCCCCTCCGCTAACTGTCTTTTGATTGTGGGAGGGTTTTTTTTTTTCAATTGAAGTACAGTCAGGTTTTTTGTTTTTTTTTTTAATTGTATTATGCGGAAGGGTTTTGAGCTGAGGAGGAACATCACCTGACTTGGTTCTTACAGGATCTCTCTGACATCCACACGGAGAATATTTTATGTTGCTAATCTTTCTTTTCCTCCTGCATCTTGGTCTTGCTTCATGCCGGCAAAGCCTCCCTCTAAAATATGACGAAGTTTCTTCTCCCACTACTTAGGTCGCCCCGCCAACCATCGGATGTGACTCCCCCAGCGAGGTCATGGCTGGTCACGTGTGTCAGGCACCCTTTCATCTCTGTCTTTCTCTCTTGTCCAGTGACAGTGTGGCGTGACACACAGACACTCCTGCTGTGGCCTTGGGGTCTCTCTTGGGTAAGCATCACGTACATTTGGACCTTGAAGACTTGAATGTTAGGCTGGGTGAGCTGGTCAAGGCGAATCAGTCCTTGCCGAGGGAGGCTGGGTATCGAGGAAGGGGGTGGCGTCAGGGTGAGTGCAAACCCCAGATTTTAGCTCATTGGTTCATTCTCAAGAACTACGAAACATAAAACTATCTCCATGGCTGGTGGTCACTGAAAGCCTTAAGGAATCCAATGAAAGTGTATTAATTAACTAATTAGTTACTTGATTAATAAAAGAATTATCTTAAGCCTTCATTGAGTAGGTATTAGGTGTTAGGCATTGTTCCAGGTGCTGGGGACACATCCATTAGCAAAAACAGACCAGCTTCTCTCTCTCTTGGGAGTGGGGGAGACAAAGTAAACAGATAAATGCATAAGACAATTTCAGGTAAAATGGGGTGACAGGTGGGTTGAGATTTCCATGCTGGACGGATTAAACCGGGAAAGCCTGTCTGAGGAGCTTGTTTTGGGCTGGGACCTGGAGGAGGAGAAAGCGTCAGCGCTGGAAGGGTCTGAGGCAGCGGAAACAGCAAGTGCAAAGGCCCTGTGGCTGGAAAAAGCTGGAAACAGCAAGTGCAAAGGCCCTGTGGCTGGAAAAAGCTGGGGCTGTTTAAGGAACAGAAAGAAGGCCCAGGAGGCTGGGGTAGAGAGAACAAGGGGGTGGAGCTAGGGGATGAGGACAGAAAAGTGAGCAGAAGCCAGGTGAGTTAGGGCCTAGGGGCAGCAGGAGCGACAACCTCTAGCTTAGCTGTGCTCCCCCTTTGGGCACTGTTCTAGGTATTGTCACATCCTCCCAACTCATTGAATCCTCACAACAGTCCTTGAGGAGAAACTCTTATCATCCCCACTTGACAGATGAAGAAACAGGCCCAGAGAGGTTCAAGCCAATTTCCCTGGGACTCTAGGGCGAGAAACCCCGGAGCATGGACTTCCTGGAACCTGTTCCCATCTGACACCACAGCCACCTGCTCTGGCCACCTTTGCCCTAGCCACCCTGCCCTAGCGGGCTGGGTCCCCGCTGCTGGTGCTCTGGACAAGGTTGGGTCTCCTGAGGGGAAGACAACACCTGGCAAGGCTCTCCAGATAGTCCGCAGAGGCTTGATAAACACCGTCTCAGGCCAGGCTGTGTTGCTTAAGGACAGGCTGGGAGAAGGCTGCTTCCCTCTGGGGTTGAATAAGAGTTTCGGAAGGCCTCGCTTTCAGCCCTCAGGGACTGGCCTGCCGTACCCAGGTGTCGGGGACGCTGTCCTCCCATCCCTGTGTGACCCCATCTAGAGAATGAGGGGGTTGGCCTACATCAGAGGTCCAGAGCACCATGCGGGGTGGGGGGTGCAGGCCCTAGGGGCAGGCCAGGCGGGCGCGGTGGAGGACTGCAGGGGAGCGTACCTGTTTGATTTTCCTGGGGCACTCATCTCCAATCACCCATCTTACATTGGCTCACTCCCCCACTGTGTCTCGCTGTTCATTCGGAGGCAGGAACTTAGATATGTTAACCTGACCCCTCTGTGTCTGTTTCCTTACCTGTAAAATGGGCTGCTGTGTGCAAGGCACTTAGCACAGGGCCAGGCACCTAGAAGGCGCCTGGCTGGTTCATTCTAGAATGTTCATCGGGAGCGAGCATTCCCAGCCTGGCAGTGTTCAAGCGGCTACTGGGGGTTAGGACAGGGGGCCAGAGAGACAAAGCTTCTGCCTGTATGTAGCAGTCAGGTTCCAGGTGACGGTGGTCAGAATGCTAGGTCAAGTGAACGAGGAACATGCCAGGTGGTGCTGGGTGATAAGGGTGAGGGGTGAGCTGGGAGAGCTGGCGCTATTTTATTTCACACAGGGTAGACGGGGAGGCCTTTCTGATAAGGCGGCCAGCAGCCGTGAAGGAAGGAGCCGGGCAGATATCTGGGGGAACAGAATAGTCGTGGGTGTCCAAGACCCCGAGGCAGGAGTCTGTTAGACTTGATCCAGGGAGAGAGAGGCTGGGAAAGAATGTGTGTGCACGTGTGTGTAGACCGGCGCGCGCGCACGCGTGTATGTGTGGGGCGGGCGGGCGAGCGGGGGGGGGTGAGGTCTCAGAGGTAGGGGCAGGGGCGCTGGGGTTTCTGCCAGAGGAGAGAAATTCCTACTAAATATGAACAATGATGATGCTCACGACAGAGGAAGTGGGAGGGGAGGAGGGCTGAAGAGGGGGGCAGGAGGAGAGAGGCAGAGGAGGAGCGGGGAGAAAATGGAGAGGTGGGAGAATCAGGGATGGGAGTGAGCTGGGAGCAGGTGGGCATGAGGACGGGGACAGGGCTGGAGAGGAGGCGAGCCAGGCCCAACGTCTCACGCGGTCCACGAGCCCTCCACTGCTCCCTCCCGCGGAAACTGACGCTTGGGCGCGGGGCCAGCGGCCGTGGCCCCGCCCCACTAGGACCGTCCGATCCGCGACCCGCCCCGGGCACGCCCCTTGCTAACTTAGGCCCCGCCCCGTCGCCCCGCCCGCTGGCCTCCGAATCCCCGCGCCCAGGGCGTCCCGGGGGCGGTCCGCCCCAGCGATGGCGCATAAAATCGCTGGCCACCTACCTGGTTGGTCCTCCGTGCGCTGCTGTCAGGGGCCCGCCGTGCCGCTCAGGTCCCCGGAGTTGCTGCCTCTGTCGCCTCCGTCCCCGTCTCCTTCCCCCGACAAGCGCACAGGAGCCCTGCCAGCGCCGCGCGGGTGCCACGGCGCGCAGACATGGGCAGCCACGTTCGAGCGCGCCGGGCGGCGGTGGCGCTGGGCTTCGCGGGGCTGCTGTGCGCCGTCCTGGGCGCCGTCATGATCGTGATGGTGCCCTCGATCATCAAGCAGCAAGTCCTCAAGGTGGGTGAGGGGCCCGGCCGGGGGTCTGCGCGTGCTGTCCTGTCCGGGGGCTGGAGGGCACTGGGCACTGAGGAGAGCCAGGCGCGCAGCCGCAGCCTGTAGGGTGGCGACCTGGAGCCGGGATCTGCCCTCTGGGCCCGGGACCCTGAGCACCAGAGTCTCCCCTACCGAAGACACATGCTGAGTTTGGGGGCCAAGGAGGGCACCCAGGGCCTTTGCTGGAGGTCCAGGCTGGGGTTGGGGAAGCCTGAGTCAGAGACCACCTGGGAACCTGACCGCACCTTAAGGGGGGTCTGGGGCCAGGGGGAGCCTGGGAAAGTGGCTGCTTTTCCGTGTTGCCCGGAGAGGAGCCCAGGAGCGAGCTCGCATGCCTCTTTCCTCTTTACTGTAGCAGCCTGTGCCACTGTCTGGTAAAACTAGGGCTGCATTTTGCTTGTTTCCTGTGAGCCCATGAGGACAGGAACCCTTCATTCATGTACTTCTGTGAGACTCACACGGGTGCCCAGGCCCTGATAGTTGGTCAGGAGAGCATTTTCTGCTATCCAGAATCTGCCCATACAAACCCCTTCTCAGAGGCAGAATGGGCAGCTCTGTCCTCCCCTGGCACTGCCTTCCTGATGCAGATTGGAAATGATAAGCCGATTTTCTCCCCAGATTCACACAGAGGCAGGCATAAGCCCCAGGCTGCATAAGCAGGGTCCTTCGGGAGCCCACAGCCTGAGAGCTTTCCTCTGAACCTAACCTTATACACCACTGCCCTTTTAACCAGAGTGGCAAATTAAGGCCATCAGCTGGCCTTCAGACCGTCAGACTCTGCCCTGGGTGTCTGGGCGGCCTGTCTGAATGAGCCTGGAGTTACAGAAGGACGGGGAGATTACAGAGTATCACACTTGAGCTAAAAGCATTCAGAGCTTGGAATCAGGGCCAGTACCTGCAGGGCCAGGAGGGGAAGCTGAGGCTTGTCTTGGCCCAAAATCCAGCCAGGCTGCAGAGCTGGGGTAAAGCTGTGGGAATCGTCACTTGCTAGTTAATTTCTGTTTCCGTTCGCCCATTTTAGGGGAAACTCTTGAGAATGGGGACTTGCCCACATTCCATGTCTGTGCCCCGTGCCCAGCACAGGATGCTTGGGAGGTGAATGAATGAATGAATGAATGAAAGCTACATCTGCTTAGACTCAACTGCCATTTCTCCGCTTTAAAGATGGGGCAAGTTTAGTTTTCCTCAAGGTCTTTGGGTAAGCAGTTGTCTGAGTCATCTTGGCTACACTGTGTTTTTTGTTGTTTTTTTCGGTTTTCAAATTCTTGTCAAATTAAATCCTGTGATCTGATTGCAAGGAGATGCTCGCCAATGGTGACACTGAGCACTGAGTTTCTCTTTATCGGTTTTTTGTTTTTTGTTTGTTTTTTGCCTCGAGATGGTGGGAAAATGCTGTGTGGGGAAACCTCAGAGCGAGGGTGGCAGAGCTGCATCTTTCCTGGGGGTGTATCTGTTTTGCTTTCCAAAGTAGCAGTGCGAGGTTTATCTCAGTGCAAGCCGGCTGTAAACGCCCGCCAAATTTGTGGTTTCTGTACCGTGTGCACCCTGGAGAGACTGTCACTCAGGCGGCGTGAGCATGGGGAGCCTGTCGAGATTAAGTGCAAAGAATCTCTTGCTTTGGGGGTGTGGGGGTGGGTGAGATTTATAGCCGATGAAGAATCTTGTCAGCCCAGTCCTTCTTGGACTTAACTCAGGTGTTTTCTTTTTATGGCTGTCAGCCAGATTAAGGATGTCTCCACGTGAGTGAGTGTGTGCATGTGTGTGTGTGTGTGTGTGTTCACGCACACACGCATGCACTCCGTAATTTACCATTCCTCCCCTGGGCTTCCAGAGAGGAAGGCGCCTCTGCTGGTCTCAGTTGTCCCAGAGCTAAGATTTCCGGTCTTAAATTTGGGTGAGTGCCGCCCAGCCTCCTGTATGAATTTCCCAAAAGTGACTGGTTTGGGGCCGAGTGGCTTGAAGGCACCAAAGGCGAGCCCAGCCGGTGACAGCTACTTCTTGGACAGCTCAGACGGAGTCCCGGCCAAGTGCCTTCCCTTGGAAGAAGAATGCTGGTGTTTAGGGGACCGAGCGGGTGGGACGCTGGGAGAGGGAAGCACTGCCTGCTGGTGTTTTCTTTGGCTACATACATGTCCATGTACAACTTGAATGGGAGGCCTTGTGCTTCAATTTCTTTTTTTTTAAAATTTTTTTTGTTTCAAGAAGTCCATGTATCTAAAGGCATGAATTCTTTGTAAAAAAAAATATTCAAGTGGAGGGAAAAACATTTCCCCCCATTTTATTTCCTTTCTCCCCTCCTCTCCTCTCAGATGATGGTACCACCATCACCTGAGAGTATCTTTCTAGACTTTCATCGAGATGAAATTTATATGCATTAATATATATTTTTTACTTATATTGAACTAAACTACATATAAATTGCCTGCAGATTGCTTTTCAGTTCACAGGTATTGCTTGGAAATTTTTCCATGCCAGAACATATAAATCTATCACATTTTCATTGCTGCATAGTATTCCTTCGAATGGCTGTACACTTCATTATTTACCTGTTTCTCTATTGACTGATAATTTTCTCTATCACCGACAAATGAACAGGGACCATCCTGACATGTACCTCTTTGTGTACATGTAGGAACCCTTCCACCAGGCACATTTCTAGAAGAGAAGCCTCTAGACCTGTAAGTCTGTCTAGTTTGAATTTTGATAACTCACAGCCTAATGGCCCTTCCGAAGATCTCTAGCTTTTCTGGTTCCCATCAACAGAGTCTGAAAGTACCCACTTCCCCACACCTCTGCCATTATTGGTGATTACCCATTGATCATTATCATTTTGGGGGATTCACCTGATGCATGTGAGTTACATTTCTCAGGTTGCTAATGGGGTAGGGTAGGGATAAGACATGTTTTGAAACCTGGGTCAGTTTGAAATCCAGGGTGGCAGTGCAGTTTGCTAGCTGGGGGCCTTGGGCCAGTTACTTCAGCTCTAAACCAGGGCTTGTGTCTTTAGCGCTGAGGCAGGGGTCAGATTAGTTTGCTTTCTGGCAAGATGATAAAATACAAAGGCAGTTACTTGTGTGTGAAAATGCCTTCAATGTACCTGGTCTCTCATTTGAGTGGTATCACATCCTTATGAAATATGACAGGATTTTTCCTTCCTACAGGTAAAGAAACTGAGGCACAACAAAGCTTGCTGGGGTTTACACACCTTGTGGCACTGGTGGGCAGGAATCTTGACTGCCAAATCTGGGTCTCCACTTCAACAGGGGCATAAAAAGTAAAGCAGGAACTTTCTTTCTATGCCCCTGTTGGACTTTTAGGCCAAAGTTAGAAGGAGCTAGATATTTATGTTTTGGCACAGAAAAGTAGAAAAAAACACATTTCTAATTGAAAAAAGCTCTGAGGGTACTTGTGTTGAAAAAACAGAACTCCACAAATAATATTCTGTATTTTCACTGGGTTACTATTAGTACATGGAAAAGCACAGAAAAAGGTGTGGAAGGATGTGCACCAGACTGACAAAACTGGTTACTCTCGGGGGGGACTGGGATTGTGGTGAAGGGAAACTTAACACTTTATCTATAATGTTCCTACCCTTTTTTTTCTAATGAGGAGAATGTATTCATGTATTATGTGTTTAGTAACGAACCCATAGCTTTCCCCCAAAGAATGGCCAGGTGACTTAGATGTAGGATGCGGGAGGCACTCGGTGGCGGGGCCCTATGAATTGAGGTCCCTGGGAGGCCTTGGGGGAGAATGAGACCCATTTCTTCTCCTTTCCCTTGGTGGGTAGGTTTGGACAAGAGGTGTTCAGACTGAATGCAGTAATGAGTGTAATTGGGGATGACTGTGCCAGGCATCTTTGTGAATGTCAATCATCTCGTTTAGTCCTGGGGGAGGGAGTTCTGTGATACATGGCTCCTTGTCATCATCAACAGTGAGGGAAACAGAAGCTTAAGAGAGTAATTTGCCCAGGTGACCTTGCTGGGGTGTGTGTGTTAAAAGGGCTCGGAGGCAAACCCCAGGAGGAAAGGTTCTCTCGTAGCCACGGCCTAGAACTGAGCCTAGCATGTGTGGAATGAATGGAGTAGGAAGCAGGGTTCAGGAGCCTGGGGGGATATTTCCAAGTTACTGTGTGTCTCTGGTCCACCAGGGAAGGCCCCGCCGGTGGATGCGGGGAGGGACCCCCTCACTGCTTCTGGGCCACAGGGCTCGTCTGTGGGGCCATCAGGTGCCACAATGGGCTTCATGGCCTTGTTCAAGCTTGGGGGGGAAGCTGAGTTCCCTTCAGCTGTCTCTAAGTTTTCTGGCTGGAATCAGCCTTGCGAGCTTCATCTACTAATTTCTCCAGCTGCCAAAATCTCCCCTGTCTGTGTTCCCCATCTCAATAAAAGACACTTCCATTCGTTCCCTCCAGGAGTAGAGGCAACAGCCTTGGGCCAGCCTTGACTGCACGCTTCTCCCGATACCCCTGTGTCTGGTCCACCAGCAAATCCTGTCCGCTTTACCTTGAAACAAAAATCTGCATTCTGACCCCTTCTCAACATCTCCATCATGACAGCCTCCTCCATCCACTGCTTGGACCAGTGCAGTAGTCTCACCTCTGGTCTCCATAGCAGCCAGAGGGATCAAACACTCATCAGATCACGTGCCCCCTCTGTTCACAACCCTTCGAGGTTCCTGTCTCACTCTGAGTGAACACCAAGGTCATTTTGGTGGCCTGGAGCTCCGCCACCCCCACCACGATCCAGCCCTCCTTCCCCGTCTCACTGCAGCCCCCTTGGCCTCCCTGCTCACCTACCACGCTCACTTCTTTGAAATCCTTGGTCCCACCAAACCCTGGCTTGCTTTCCCCACTGCCTGGAAAGCTCATTCTCTGATATCTGCATAGCTCACTCCTCATGTCCCTAAAAGTTGCCCCCTTGTGGCCCGTGTTTATTTGTGTGTTCTCTTTCTCCGTCGTGAGG